TAACAATCGTGTAGCAGCCTTTAACATCTTCATTGTAAGTTTTATCTCTGTATGGCTCCAAAACTGTCTCAAAATTATAAAATTTCCATTAGATACAAACTATATCTTCTGACAAAATAAACTCAGAACAGCTTAAATTATACATTGTGTAAATCGAATTACACTCTGCATGAAGATCTCAAAAAGCTGTGAATGCGGATGGTCTTTACATTTTTTAGAAGTTTTTATTATTGGGCTTGTCATAGCTTGTCGTAGTCGGATCATAAACGGAGACTGGGGAAAGAAAATGCTAATATGTGCATTTTTGGTAGGCCATTAAATTATATTTGCCTTAAATTCAAATTCTGCTTGCAAATAGCATGTATGACCTGTTGATGGTGTTTGGTGGCCAACCCTTATATAGATCTTGGTGATCAAGAAGTTTAAGTTCAAAGAGGAAACTGTAGACATTGGAATCAAAGTAAAGAGAAAGAAAAGTCAGAAGTATGTGGGTTAACTACAATTATTTTCCAAAGATGTCATACATCGCTTAAGAAGTACAGCTCTAGCTGAGAATGTTTAGTAGGAACACAGTCAGGATACCTTTGGTGGCAGCATATAGTGCATCTGTGATTTGATGTTCCCTCATGATGTTCCATGTAGCAAGAACTAATAGAATTAAAAGGAGATTCTTGGCATATTTTACATACAGGATGATTAGCTGATATATGTTCAACAGGGGCCAAGCGGGAGACCAAAGCTGAACGAGGTGATAGGAAACCTTCATCTTTATCTCTTCCTCTCCATTATAACTGCTTTATCTTTGACCGCACAGGGTTTCCCACAGCAAATTGGCTAAACTCAGTGGATGGTGTCTCCACGGTAGCCCAAGGGCAGCCCACTGTGTTTTAATAAAAAAAAAAAAAATTCAAAGTAGACAGGATATTTTAATATATGAGTAATAATTCACATGTTATTTTAAAATATTATTGACAATAATTAAATTCCAACTGTGAATTGTAAAGAAGGCAGACCCTTAAAGCACTGTTTAAAAAAAAAAAAAAACTATGCAAATAAATATAGGTTGTCTACAGTAAAAGTGCAGCCAGTAAATCTTAAATAGAGCATTTAAAATCAAGATATATTTCATCATAACTAATACAACTAGGAACCAACAAACGGATCACTTAAGGACCAAGGCATTTAAAACTGACCAGTTATTATCCAATGCTCCACATGCACCAAAAGGTTTAAGTGATTGACAAATTTAGACTTTAAATATATTTCATTTTGATCAGTTTCATATATATATGTTATTTACTCGTCACTTTTGCTGCCATCTCAATTCAAGTGCCATATTGGAAAGAACCAATACTTGCGTTCAGCACATCTAGCCTATATCATGACGAACAAGGCATTTTAACAACGACCATGTAAAGGGTCCTTGGGTTGTCTACTGGCTGTGGTTGCAACAAACCCAACAAAACATACTAACTTCGTTTGACCATTTCTGTGTTACATATTATGCAAAGACGTTAGTGGAGAGTGGCAAAGAGAGGCAGTGATTTTTTGCATTGTGTGTGACCAACTAGTGCATATGTGTCTATGTACCGACCATAGGGGCTCACCATTGTGCTTTCAAACTTATCACTGTCACTAGTTCATATCTCTCCCTTAGAATATATAATAAACAAGCTAAGCCTGGTGGGGGGTGGCAGTAAAGCCCGAGATGCTTATAGTACAGCAGGGAATTTCTTCAGTCTTGACAGTCCCTTCTTTAAATCTAACCTGCAATATCTGCATGCAGATCAGAGAAGTGGGAAGACCGCATCATCTTTAACTCTACATGAGATTAGGGAATGAAAATGATGAAAAGCAGAGTCACAACTTGACATCAGAAAGAAGATGTGGGATGATGTTTCTCTGTGCCTTCAAGAGTTCACAGAAATCGTTCATTTGAATGGGGAGCCAAATGACAGAGAGAAGAGAAAAATATACAAAACTGGTGTCGCTCTCAACATAGTTAGCGTTTGATTTGGTCTCTGCGACAAACTTCGCTTTGCTTTGAAAAATCTGTGATGAAGAGGAAGGAGCAGCAATCTGAAAGAGTTCAAACAGGTTTTCCTGAATGTGTTTCCTCCGAGGTGTGATGGAGGGAAACAAACAGTCAGTGTCTGATTAAAAGTAGTCTGGTAACATTTAGAAAAACATATGCTGTTAGACTGTAGCGTAGATCTTAGAAGCACAGGAGCTGAAGCAGTTCATTACAGAAAGCTAATGAAGAAAAATCAAATTAATATATTCAGAGGTCTAAGATCAGGTTACACAAGTAGATAGTCCTGGTAAAATCAAGACATTCCATTTTCTTAATTGATTCAAGTGCTGGTAAGCACAAAATATTACATTTGTTTTACCCACTGAGAATTCATATACAGGTGCTGGTCATAAAATTAGAATATCATGAAAAAGTAGATTGATTTCAGTAATTCCATTTAAAAAGTGAAACTTGTATATTATATTCATACATTACATACAAACTCATATATTTCAGATGTTTATTTTGTTTAATTTTGATGATTACAAATGACAACAAATGAAAATCTCAAATTCATCATATCAGAAAATTAGAATATTGTGAAAAGGTTCAAAATTGATGGCCCCTGGTGCCACACTCTAATCAGCTAATTAACTCAAACCACCTGCAAAAGCCTTTAAATGGTCTTTCAGTCTAGTTCTATAGGCTACACAATCATGGGGAAGACTGCTGACTTGACAGTTGTCCAAAAGACGACCATCGACACCTTGCACAAGGAGGGCAAGACACAAAAGGTCATCGCTAAAGAGGCTGGCTGTTCACAGAGCTCAGTGTCCAAGCACATTAATAGAGAGGCGAAGGGAAGGAAAAGATGTGGTCGAAAAAAGTGTACAAGCAAGAGAGATAACCGCACCCTGGAGAGGATTGTGAAACAAAACCCATTCAAAAATGTGGGGGAGATTCACAAAGAGTGGACTGCAGCTGGAGTGAGTGCTTCAAGAACCACCACACACAGACGTATGAAAGACATGGGTTTCTGCTGTCGCATTCCTTGTGTCAAGCCACTCTTGAACCACAGACAGCGTCAGAAGCGTCTTGCCTGGGCTAAAGAGAAACAGGACTGGACTGCTGGTGAGTGGTCCAAAGTCATGTTCTCTGATGAAAGTAAATTTTGCAGTTCCTTTGGAAATCAAGGTCCCAGAGTCTGGAGGAAAAGAAGAGAGGCACTTCATCCACGTTGCTTGAAGTCCAGTGTAAAGTTTCCACAGTCAGTGATGGTTTGGGGTGCCATGTCATCTGCTGGTGTTGGTCCATTGTGTTTTCTGAGGTCCAGGGTCAACGCAGCCACATACCAGGAAGTTTTAGAGCACTTCATGCTTCCTGCAGCTGACCAACTTTTTGGAGATGCAGATTTCATTTTCCAACAGGACTTGGCACCTGCACACAGTGCCAAAGCTACCAGTACCTGGTTGAAGGACCATGGTATCCCTGTTCTTAATTGGCCAGCAAACTCTCCTGACCTTAACCCCATAGAAAATCTATGGGGTATTGTGAAGAAGAAGATGCAATACACCAGACCCAACAATTCAGAAGAGCTAAAAGCCACTATTAGAGCAACCTGGGCTATCATAACACCTGAGCAGTGCCACAGACTGATCGACTCCATGCCACGCCGCATTGCTGCAGTAATACAGGCCAAAGGAGGCCCAACTAAATACTGAGTGCTGTACATGCTCATACTTTTCATGTTCATACTTTTCAGTTGGCCAACATTTCTATAAATCCTTTGTTTTTATTGGTCTTCAGTAATATTCTACTTTTCTGATATGATGAATTTGAGATTTTCATTTGTTGTCATTTGTAATCATCAAAATTAAACAAAATAAACATCTGAAATATATGAGTTTGTATGTAATGTATGAATATAATATACAAGTTTCACTTTTTAAATGGAATTACTGAAATCAATCTACTTTTTCATGATATTCTAATTTTATGACCAGCACCTGTAAATAATACAATACATTTTCTACTAATCCCGTAAAAATTAGAATTAGCCATTATTTAGTGAGATGCTTCTTTTAGCTATCTGTGGTTCCCTGACATTGGTCTGGGTGAAAGTTTGCTCCATTTCTCACTTTTAACTAAGGAATTTTTCAGTTTTTTTTCATGTACTGAATAATTTAAATCACATTTTAATCAGACTGAGATCTGGACTTGATTTGTATTCTCATTTTCCTCGAAGACTGTTTTGGGGTTTAAGCCAAAGAGGCCCACTGTTCCATTCTTTAAATTATTTACCTGTACTTTACTATAGACATGTGCACTGATCTGTCTGCTAAGAGCTGCCTAGAAGCTTCTAACCGAAAGAAACAAACCATCTCTAAGTAAACAGGTGTTCATTATAATGTGTGTAAAGCTAAATTAAGCATAAAATCATAAAGATATTTTTTGTTATTTTCTCAGACTTGTTTTGAATTCAAAAAAGACATGTATGCTTTATGAATTTAGAACCAGGAAACATGCTGTTGTCATTGTGTTGCATCACAGGTTAATGTTTATTTTTCTTTTGTCTCACTGTTTTTCATGTTTAGCTGCTTTACTAATGCTGCTTTGGTGCTTTTTCTATGATTTTAATGCTGTTTTCTCCTTCCTTTTCCAAAAATGTTATATTTTCTCTGCCCCTCTGTTGCCCTCATGCAACCCACTACATTTATTTTTTTTTCTGTCTGAGTCTTATTTTGCTATTTCATCCTTATATATTACTTCTACATAATCTGTCTTGATTAACAACCTCCTATGTCCTTGCTTCACTGTTATTATCCTCATTCTTTGTCTCTTTTTCAAATTTGTTGTTTTTCTGCAAAATATCCTATTCTTTCCTTTGTGTTTGTTTTTTTCCATCACTTTTCTGTCTCAAATCTCTTACATTTTCTTTTTTTGGTTTCTCCCTCTGTTCGACCCCTTCCACCCTACCGGCGCCCAGCAGTAAGTACCGGCCTTCATCGGAGCAGCACAATGATAATTTCTCACTGTCCACCATCGCTGAGGGCTCCCACCCAAATGTAAGGAAACTGTGCGAAACCCCTCCTAACGTCCCTCATGCCCGTGCATTGGCTTACTATGATAACATTATCTGTCAGGTAACGTGGTTCTCGCCTCTATCTCTCTCACCCCTTTTCTGCATCTCCCTTCCAACCTAAATCCTGCTTGGGCCTTCAACTCCCCCTCAAAATGCATGGGCATGAGTATTCTCAGATACTCTGAGGTGTTATAAGCTCCGAGGAGGGAGGATTGGCGGGGTCCAAGGTCTGGCTGCCGATAATCATCTCTCATTATTTAATAAAAATTTCTGTCTGGAGAAGAACGGTATAGAGATGCACCGATTAGAGATTGGTTTCCAATCTTATGTTTTTGTGTAGCCCCTACCTCTCAGTATTAAGTCAGTTCAGATCATCTATATTGTTAAACAGAATTTGAAATATATTTATCCAACCTTTCCGCTACGATCATATATTAATTGTTCGTATTAGTGGGACAATAGTGTAGAGCTGAGAGGCAGTTTCATGGATTATCCATTCCTATAGATTGGTTGAATGACAGATGGCTCTGTTTTAAACAAAATGGCCAAACCTGTAAAAGTAGAAAATGAAAAACAATGTAAATAACATCACACAACAAAGTTTTTCTTTCTGTTTTAAAAACACGAGAATGTTTATTTACCAATATTAATTGACAATGATAAATATCTGAATATGTTTAATTTTGGGCTGCAGTCTAGCCAATTGATAAACTATTAGTTGTAAATGAAAATATGCTAAAAAATTATTCACACAAACAGAAATCTGGTGTTAAAGCGAAGAAAGAGAAATGATAACATCAAAATCATTAATAATCTTTTTTTCACGATTCAAGACAAACATGAAAAGATTTCATAAAAGTTAAACGTTTTAGCATGATTGATAGATTTATCTGAATGTTTTTATTTCTCATTGGACTAAAATAAACGTGAACATGCCAACATTTTCTTAACCTGCAAGTGTCAAATCTAAGTTCATTTTCTACAATGGTAACAAAGCAAAAGAAAAATGGCCACAGTGCCACAGATTAGAGGTTCAGTTCCCCTGAAACCACTTATTCCACAGACTCCAAGATTTTCTTGGTATAATCTGATCATTCTAGGACATTTGAAAAACATCCTTATGAACCCTGCCTGTTCTCTGTCCTTCTAACATGCTTTTTCTCTTATCACCTCTTTGCATCTGTATTTTATGTCATGGCATGTCTGCTCTGTCGCTAATATGTGCCACCTGGCGGCCATGTTTGCTACCTAAGCTAATTTTTTTTGCTTTATCGACATGTCTTCTTGACTTGTTTATCCTGTAGGTTAATATGGGAAAGAGGGAGGGATGGCTAAGGCCAAAAAAAGTAATGGATTATGGGTTTACAAGATAGATAAGGGATATCACAACAGGTAAGTTAAAATTGTTGGGTGTTTTAGAAAAACAGCGTTGGTTATCAGGATAAACATCTGGGATGCAATGCCTTGGTTCTGCCTGAAGGGGGCAGACAGCAGAGCTGTCAGGTGCCTCACTAACAGAAGCATGGGTAGCTAGTTGCGCTAACCCCAAAGTTGTAGCAGCATGGGTTGCTCTATCGCTACAACAGAGATTGCATTCTTTTGTTAATTATTTTCAGGATGTGGTACCACCCTCTCACAGCTCTTCGGTAGTTTGTTCCCCCATTTTGCTCCAGTGTGTAGGCTTAAAACTTGTTTCCTTTGCTAGCTTTTCCATGTAGTTTATCAACATGCGAGCAGTTCCCACACATTCATTTTAAATATAGGTACTAAAAATTTCTCCTTGTATAACATTAAACGCTAGAGCTCAAGATCAAGAAAATTCAAGAAAATTTAGTATTTTTCTTCTAACATCTCTGTCACTGATCAAATAGTACTTGTGGAATATAAATTAATTGACTGAAATCCTAATGGTACCATGGGGAATATTTTTAATGTACAGAAGAAGTATTTTACCCATATTGCTCATTATTATTAGTAATTTTCTAGTAAGCCCTTACGATATGTTGGATGCCAACATTGTGTCTTTATATTTGTATAAGGGAGGATATACAATGACTAAGAAATTACAGTTAAAAAGATTATCTGAATAGTAACAGTAAGCAACAAATATGGTTCTTATGGTTTATTTTCAAGTCAGGGTTCCCATGTTAACTGACATGAAAGCAGTTAATCCAACTATCACTTAATCTAGAAAACATTTTATTTGCACAACTGATATAAGGTGAAAAAGACTGCTACGTTCATGAAAAATGACTTAGTACTATTTATATTTAAATATTCCCTGTTTTCTACATATAATCCAATTAGAATATTGGGGATTTGGAGCACATTTTTTTGGTAATATTCAAATATCAAATCATAGTCTTAAACAAATTTGACAAGCTGGAACCTACCGGTATATAAAGCTTTAAAAAGTAAAGGTACATTTGAAAACAGTATTAAATTCAGACTGAATTCTTTCCCTGCTTTAAATAAATTTAAATAGGTTCTGCCATAACTGCTAAGATCTTGAGTTAAACATCAAATGAAATATTCCCAACTACTTTTCGACTCAGTTTTAATACGCAAATGGCACAAAACACAAAATTTCATAAATAAACCATAAATTTTAACAATAAAAAACTAACAACTCCAAACCTGTGCTCTGTTGGTCCATACTAACAGCCGAGCAGCACCAGAGAGTCTGTGCTGGAACAGATCTGAATCCAGCTGGGAATATCAGCTGACATCGAACAGGAAGTCGAGTTCCTCCTACTCTTGGTCTCTGTCTCCAATGCTCAGCCTCTCTGTCTATTTTATCCGTCTCTTCCTGTTTCCCTCTTTTAACTGTCTCCGATCCATTAGTTCTCTAACTCTTCCTCCTTCTTTCTGTCCACTTAAAACTCTGTCTTTCTCTGTTCTCCCCCTACCTGTCTTTCTTCTGGGGATGGCTTATATGGTTGTTTTTGAGGAATATAACCCTTTGCCCCGTCCCCCTCCCCTCAGAAAACCATGAGCAGATACACCTGGGAGTGTAAGACCAAAGAGGAGTCCGACTGCGAGGTAAGACCAAATTTAAGACATGTCAGACAGCCCCGACCCCCTGTCTCCCTTCCAAACAGCTCTCTCATTGTTACTGTGGCCCTGTCAGTCACCCCTCTCAACTGTCAGTGGGTTAGTCTAAGCCTTAGTCTGTCTAGACAAATAAAAACAAATATTAAACAAAAAACAGCTTAAAATAGTAGATAGATTTGTTTCAACAGATTTAAATTTTGATGTTAAACCAGATTTATAAACGCACTGTATGAAAAGACACAATATTGTACCATAATGTTTTTTTTTAGTTTGACATTAAATCAGATTAATTTGTCCTGTTTTATTCCACTTAAAAAAGCAAACATTTTTGGACAATTTCAGAAATTGACATATGATTATTGTACATTGGAAAAAAAATATGCAAAAACCCACATAAGGGTGCCATGGCTTTGTCCTCTTCAAAACATTTGAGTTAAATGTAGGGTCAGCTTTGGATGCAGTACCTCAAACAAGCTGGTGTGACATCATTAGAAAATCCAGAGAAATCAGGAATAGATTTGTGAACCTCCAAAAGTTGGGTTTATCCTTGGGTACACGTTTCAGATTCATGAAGGTGCTGAATTAATCTGTTTAAATATTTTAATCAAGAAACAAGCGATGCCAAGCCTCCACTGTTTAGGAAGGAGATAGTTTATTGTGTCATAGAGCAGGTCTATGATCAGTTCTTTCAGAAGATGTGGGCCAAAATGATTGAGTCAAGTACTTTAAAAATACAACTCAAAGGAATTTAAAAATACTTTTTTTTATTCCTGCAGGTAAATCAAATTTAGTAACTCTTATATGGATTGATTGAAAGAGTTGCTGTAACTGTTAATGGCTGTAGGCAGGAAGGATCTGCTTTAGCAGTCTGTCATATAACGAATCATGAGAAGCCTCTTATTGAATTCCGTCTGTTGTCGTTCTGTAGGATTGCTTGTAATTTACTTTATTTTATTAGGAAATTGACTTCACAAATATTGCAAAAGGTTTCTGAATAGTTCCCAGATCAGAGTTGGTCTTTATTACCTTGTTAAGCTTGTTTAGGTCAGTTGTTTTGATGCTGCTACACTAACAGACAATAGCAGAGGGGATCACTTTCTCCCCAAAAGACTTTGAAACAATATGCCGCATCCTGCAGTTCCACCAAAAACTATCGAAATATATGTAAACTGCTGAATTAAAAGGCAAAAATATTCTAAACTAATAAAATAAATTAGACTAATGATGTTGGTGTTTAAAACTAATCCAAATAAGACTAATTTATTGTTAGAAAGAGTGACAATATGTGGTTGTTTCTTTTAAACAGTTGCATATCGGATTTCAGTTGTATCTGAAAAAAGGAAAACAACATCAGTAAATTCAATTAACAGATCATCTTCCCCTTTACCAACTATTATCTATTATTTTCTGCACAGGTCAGAAAAGACTGACTGATATTGGATGTGTTAATTTTAGCTAAGGCTATGTTTCTATTTACTGTCTATGGGAAAGTTTGTGACTAGAAAAAAAAATCACATCACCTGCTTCTACTGTTTGTTAAAAAGTTTTATAATGTTTTGAGGAAGTAATGAATATCATCCACAGTGAATTTTACATTACTATCCAAATTTGGTTACAAATTAGATTCCTGTAAGATGAAATAAAACAAAACAACAAACATTGTTGGCCATGTTTTTGTGGTATTTCTTTTAAAAAATCTGATAATTGATCAGATTGAATTATTTGTTATAAGTGTGGGCATTCCATAGCGCTACAGGTTTTAGTAAAATTAGGATGTCAAAAAGATAAAAAGAAGCATAAATGCTCTTTATTTCAAAACAGAAAAGCCACATTCATTCCTGCTTCAGAACTGACAGTTTTGTAGTAATGGTATTGGTTGTAAATATGCTCATTTGATTTTGTTTCAGCGGCTTAATTAAGATTCAAAATAAGGCAAGCAAGTTGATCTATACAGCAAAATTCAGTGCAAAGACAATTGTGCTTTAAACAGTGGAATAGAAGGTACATAGAAACCGAATAAAAGCAAGTAAAAACATGAGTAAAACAAATAAAATAGCCAGTGAAAAGACTTCATTACCGGGCTGATGTGCTCTACTTTATTAGTTCTAGTGGGAACACAGACAGCAGCATTTTGGATCAGCTGTAGCTGTCTGACGATTTTTAGGCAAACCTATGAAGACACTGTTGCAGTAATCAATCCTACTAAAGATAAATGCATGAGTGAGTTTTTGTAGATCCTGATTGGACTTTAGTCCTTTAATCCTGGAAATGTTCTTTAGGTAATAAAAGGCTGACTTAGCAATAATAAGACCCAGTTCTAGTTTCTAGGTTTTTAAGCATACAAAATACCCTTTAATGTAGTCTTAAAGGGTCTTCAGAGGTTAGAGCATGTATAATAAAAGAATGGGCAGCCTGTAGTTTGTTGTTTAACTTGTATGATAAGCAAATGATAAATTTTTAATATATTTTCAGTTATTAGAGTGCAGCAATAGGTGGGGAAGGGGTACTGCTATGTTACTCTATGTTTCATGCAGCCAGATAGATATGGCCCCTCCTGCACCTTGTCTGGTTTCTCAATGTAAAAGATAACAAATCTTTATGAACTAAATTACACAAAACCATATGTAGTTAATTGGCACAATGTGATACCAAAGCCTTGCCATGTGTCTGGGAAACCCCTAATGTGTAAGCATATTAAATATTCATGTAAAAATGTGAAATATTTGTAGCCCATGCAATTTATGAATGAGATAGAGAGAAAATGATTTTTGTTTTGTTTGAGCATATGAAATATGCCTGTTTTTAAACTTACAGGTGCAAAGCTAGGTCTTAAAAAAAGGTTTTTAGAATCAAATCATTGCAAGATTAAAAACTATAAAAGGGCTCAAAGACCGACCTCTGCCAAGCAGCAAATTTAGCCCCATAATTTCGACTTACAGCTATAGCTAAAACTCACACATGATCTGGATCATTACCAAATTTAAATAAATTGTTCCTTGACATGAGGCAGACCTCTGGTAAAAAATGTCCATTAGTATGTTTTCAATTAATCCTGCTAACAGACCAACAACTTTCCCTTTTGTGTTTTTGTCTTCAGTAAAATACCTCTAAACTTTTTGAGTCCGATGCTGAGGCTGTCAATTATCACTGCTGCCACCCTCTGGTTAAGTAGGAAACTGCTTGTTCTGACAAATATCCATATCTTACAATGTTGGAGAATCTTTTAAAAGATTATGATATGGATTATCACCTAAATTTAATGGGTTGTTCCTTGGAATGGGGACAGCTCTGATAAAAAAAAATGATTAAAATCCACCCAGTTAGTTATCTTGAACACAGACAGACAAACACACTAACTCTCCTAAAAAACATAACCTCCTTGGGCGAGGTAACAATATTTACACAAAACAATTTACGAAGAAATTGTTATTTTAAAATAAGATTTTGTGTTGTTGCTTTAGAATTTTGTACAAGGCAAACATAAAATAAAATGAACAAACAAAGTTTTGTGGAAGTCTTTGAAATGTTCACTATGGCTTACCTCTCAGGGCACAATGCTGTAAAGATTTGGCACTACCATTGTTTTTTTTTAAACTGTTACTTTAGATGTGCAAGTCATGGTTTCTGCTGCACAAACACTGCAAAAAAACATGGTGTTACACCTCGGCTTTATAGACTGAAGTCGGTATCTGAATCCCAGCTGTCTGCTTGGACGACCAACAGCCTCTATATATAAGGTGCTGGCTACAATGCTGTAGTATGCTCTGGGTCCTATTTAACATTCACTCTGTTACTGAATAAAAAAAAAAGAATGCTTTCTGGGATTATGACCATCCAAAAATTACAGTTTCTGCACAAATACAAATAAAATCTTTTGGACCTGCCCTTTAAACACTGACCCTGCAGAAAGAAGCTGCTGACCTTATCACCAACCCAGTCTAGACATAAAAACACATGCTGAACATTTATTGGAAAAAACTATCATTTGCAAAAAAGAACTGTTTACTGAGAAGGTGAACACAAGGTCCTTGTTTTCTGTGCCGTTCCATAAACAGCAGTCATTTCTCTGCTGTAATTGAAAGCTTTGTGTTTCTTTCATGGCGGTGGATTGAACCCACTTGTCCCCAATCTTCCCCTCAAAGTAATTCAGCCGAGTGCAGCCGCATCCTTCCCTCTGCAGCAAACTGTGAAAGGGAATTGTTTCCTGTCAACAGTAAATAAATTCAGGACAGGAAACACACTTACCAGGCCGAGTCGGCAGTCATTTTTAAGAGGATTCCCATCGACTGTATTGGCTCTCATTGACTTATCACAGCTGAGCTCACCCAAGGTTTTCAGCAGATTAAGCTATTTAAATCATTCCTAACTGTTTCATTATTCCAAAAGACAGTAAAAGACAACAAAAATCATAGTCTGATCATGCTGCCCCAGTCATACAATCATTAATCCTTAGTTAAATCCCCAAGTTAAATAAAGACAGATATTTAGTGCTCTAAACATATACAGTATTATTATTCTGACACAGACTTGGCCAACACACCAATCCTAATAAGAAGTAGCAAACAACATACAATCTTAAAATCAAGGGACTGCACATAATTCTTCTCATTGCCTGAAGAAATATATTCTAGTCTGTCATATCTTTCAAAGCTGTGAAGTTGTTTAAAAGTCAGTCCAGATGCTTCTGTGATTACAAAGAGCTAATCTAAAAAAAAAAAAAACGTAAAAATTTGATCACAACCGATTCCAATATGTTGGTTGAATAAAATGGAATTTGCTTTTTTATTAAACTCTTAAAGGGGTATAAACAGTAGAGTCAAGTACTAGGTTCTATTTAAAAAGCATCAATGTTTCGATTAAAAAGTCTTAAAAAGTCAAAATAGCCTTTTAAGTGATTAATGCTTAAAACCAATTTTGTAAGTGCTTAAACTGCACCAAAGATCATGAATCCTTTGAGGAAAACATTAGAGTAAAATAATTGTGCACAACTCCCAAAAAATGTAAAAATTGAGTAGATGAGAACTTATTAAATTTATGAAGAAGTTCCGTAAAGGGAAATACAGGTTTAAAATGAGAATAATGATCATTGATCATCAAGAGTATGAACCACTTGTCTCTTTGGGATACATCTAGCAACAAAAATAAACCTTACCAGGTTCTTAGATGTAGCAGTTCAAGCAAATGAGGAAAAGATAATATTTTCTTTAATCTGTAACATCTTGATTGATATGAAGTTTTTAAAAAACTTCAAAATTATTTTTAAATAATTCATCATTATGCAGCTTTACTGTTATATCCACAGCAACATGAATCGCAAGCTTCACCAATTATTTTGGTTACGCTTTTTCGCATCTTTGTGCCCGAACACCAAAAAACAAAAACAGTATCATCATTGCTCAAATCCCATATTAAAAGATATAGTGTAGAAATGCTTCCTGTCCTGCTTTTATTTATTTAGCCATTATATATCTAACTTATGCAAAAAACTGAATTTTGCCAAAAGTCTTGATTAAAAACAATGTGTAGCCAAACAGTGTATAAAAGGCCCTCTAAATGTATGCTCAGCAGGTTGGGAACTTAATGCAAACTTTCCCTTGCTATTGAATTCTAAAAAAGAGCTGTGCTTGTATAAACAATAATACCTAAGATTTTTTTCCTTTACTAATGGTGCATTAAGTGCTCTATTATTTTTATTATTTGAATGGTCAATAACTCCGTTTTTTAGAGATTGTACCAGTGATTTAGATTAAATTGAAAAATTAAATATAAATTGCACCTACTTGCTATATTTAATAAGCCTTTCATGACTTTTCTGTGGAAACCTTGTTATCATTTGAGTAAAGAAACCTAATTTATTTTGGTGCATTTTCTTAAATTCACAACCTTATATAACAAGAGGCTGTTAATCAGTAAACATATTCACATATCTCTCAATAAAAAAAAACAACAGTTTCAAGTAATATTACAAACTGCAGTATTAGGTGCAAATCATCCCACTAAAGGAAATAATTGCTTTTTTTATTTGAATTAACCTGAAAACTCCTCATGCTTACGCAAAAATAATACAATCCCAGATCTGAGTAAAGGACATCAAGAACTGTCCATGTGCCTCCATCATCATCTTCATCATCAGAACCCTGTTTATATCTGTTCCCACTCCCCCTCAAAAGTTGAATCCCACACAAAAGTCCTTGTGACTCTGTGCTCCCACCCACTGCCCGCACCTCTTCACCCATGCACAACAACAATGAAATCCAACAACCACAAACATTTTCCAGTTTCATGCTGACGGGAGGACAGAGGGCCCCTATCCCGTAACCATGGAAGTGACATACCCACACGTCCTGCCTGAAGTTACTATCTAGGCCAACAGCCATCGGGTAAATCCTCTCAATGCTCTTCCTCTCTGAAAGTACCATTGAGTTCAAATGCAAACATTCAATTAGGGAGCGCTTGCAAATGGCACAGGCCTCAGGGTCTGGACTTAAATGCGTGTGTGAGAAAGAGAGCATCTATCTCTGCTCCTGCTCTGCTTCTGTGTGTGTGTGGGTGTGTGTGTGTGTGTGTTTGGGTGGGCACTCTTTAGTGTCGTTGTGATTGTGAAAAGAGGCGCCGACTGACACCCTGGAAAACCTCGGTGCAGCAAAGTCGATAAAGCCATGCAAAATTAATGGGACTAAGAGGTTGGAAAACAGAACTTCAATAGACTTTATAATCAGTTTTTCCCTTTTGACCTTAAATTAAATGCTGACGACTTAAATCGAAACAACTAAAGCATAGAGATTGTTTTTTTTTTTATCTCTCCCCCAGCAATTGCTTGGATATGTATGATGGTGGTGCACATTGAAAATAAGTTTGGGTGGAGTGTGTTTAGCTTTGAAACAATTAAAGGACCGAGGAGATCAAAGGTGTTCTGCATGAGCGATCATCACTGTTGAAGAGGTGCATTGTTTTTCTTTTTGCATGTGGATGTGCATGTGCTTCCCAGGTTGCTTTTTTTGTGGGTGGGGAGGGCTGGGAGATTGCTGTCGCTCATGCAGCTCACTTCAGTATCTCCTCATCAATACTCATCATGCCACCTGAGCATGGTGTTTGTAAAACAGTGGACACCAGACCACTAAATTTATAAAATGTTTCTTTTTAGCATGAACTAATTGAGCCATATCTGCAACATCTAAAAGTTTTTTGTTGTTGTTGTTTTTTTTAACAGGTATTGTCCATTAAACAAAGCAGAATGTTTTGTAAAGACATCTTTTCTTCTGATAGTTAGAATTTATTCAAATATTTAGGCTATAGCTCCTCCAAACATCATCATCAGTCATGTTAATGCAATAAAAAAATAGGAAATGCTCAAATTTACAGTACACAGTATATTCCACAATGTTAAATATGCAGTGTCAAATTACATATACTCTTTTGGAGTATTACAACAACAACTGGAGTAAGATATACTCCATGTAGAGGCAATTTAAAACAAATTCAGTTGGACAAAAGGCACTCGGATTGGTGTTTAATTAACTCCTAAAGTGTTACTTTAACACTGCAAAATGCACTGTGTACAAACAGATAGAATGTGTAGATATATCCTTAAATAATGCTACAAGTGGGTTTAATAAAAGTTCTATTGATGAAAAAGTTTAGATTGAACTGAACGTATCTAAAATTTGTTGACTAACTGCGTTATTAACAAAAACATTTTTCAATGGATAATGTTGGTATCACCAATGTCCATTTGAATCTGTCAAACATAGAAGGGATATTGTAAATAACGCCAGCATTATAGACCATAATTAGTCCTATAAAGTGCTTTGGCTTAATAGCTATAAATATTTAACAATCAAAACCTGACTTCTTTTCAAAATGTCTCCCATGAAAAACTGTGAGAGAAAAAAATTTACTTCAATTTATTAATAAAAAAACATAAAAATTACAACTTAAACACAAAATATATGTATAATTTGTGTATATATGTGTATGTATATATATATATATATATATATATGTATATATATATATATATATATATATATACCGGTGTATATATATATATATATATATATATATACACACACCAAGTTGTCTTAGTTTGTCATTTTGTACATTTCTAAAGCTCTCAGAAGCTTTTTTTTATGTGTCGTTTAAATTTTTTAGATGAAAGCCCTTTGATTGAGTTTTCACGTCACAGCTATACTGTGAATGGCATTTTTGCATCATTATAAATGTGAGCATCTATAGTATTTAAAATGAAAAGCAAAGGTTTTAAATGGGGATATGGTTTTTCTCCCACTTATCAAAAATTCTCCAGCTTAAAGTCACCAGAAGAAAACCCTCTAAAGCCTGTTTATTGCAATATTTAATAAAGCAGCAGAGAATTTGATGACAGCGATTAACAGGCATTAAATATACATTAATATGTATATTAATACATTGAAAGATTATCATTAAATTTCCATGCTGTAATGATTAATCAGATTCAAGATAAAAGATTTCTGACTTAAAGCAATGCAGGATTAGAGGTGCCCTAGATGTTGTGGATATGGTATAAAAATGTTAATTTCACTGTCTGGTAATTTGCCTTCTTGACTGCTTGATTTTTCTTTCAATGAACGAATTGCCCATATTTTTTAGATTCAACTTTTTTTTTCTCTATTTTCTTTATTAAGTAAAGCTGAATATGCACATAATGATCAAAAACAGATAAAAAGGTCAATAAATGAAAAAAAATCACAGAGTTTAAAGCCTTACTCTAAAATACAACAAAGGGTGTTAAAAAAACAGCAGCTAAAGTTGCTACTAATCATCAGGGTCAGAGTTAGAGCTGAACTTGAATGCGTCATTTTCAGTCATTCTAACTGTGTTTCTTGACACCCCCTCCCTCACCACCCCTCCACTACTTCCTTTTTGTTATGTAGGATGATCCGCATTCCCAAAACAAGCTGGAGGACCCGGTGAAGGCGCCGCCTAAGGAGGATGATTCCCTCAACATCCACAACTCTCTGACCCCCAAACATGAGAACCACAAGGTCCTTGGCGAGGAGAACTCCTCGGAGGTAAACTCACTGCAGAACAACATGATGTGAATCAAAACAAAACCACGAAAATCGCCCCCCACCCCCAAGCAACCTGACAACAAAACACAGAAATCAACATGTGCCGGCAATGGGAAGATGCAGACCTCATCAGCTGCTCTGTTTTTGCCCGCTGCCGTGCAGCCTAACCAGTCAACCAACCAGCCTGCCAACACACCAGCCAACCGACTCAGTATACAGCTGTCTCCAATACGGCACCACTGCCACCAGCAGCCTCCAGTCGCTGCAAATAAAAGAAAACATACACTGGCTCTGCCTCCGTCACTGCCCCAGCTAAAAAAAAACTGCACCCTGTCCCAATCTGCTTAACCCCAAAGCTCCCTTTTAACCCCCATTCTACCCCTTACATTCAGCCATACCCCTGTTTCGCAGCCCCACCCCTCCTTGTTGCTTAAACTTTCCCATCTCTGTAATACCTGCACACACACGCACACACAGACATTAGAAGCATACACATCTGTGAAAAGCTCCGACACGCTTTTATGTGAACACCGTCACACACCTTCCCTTTCCCTGCCTGCATTGGTGTATTTTGTAAAAAGAAAGAAATCATACAGAAGTTTAAAACTTACAGAAAAAGTTGTTGTAAAAAAAAATAAATAAAGTTAATGCTACTGAGAGGTTTTGATGTTTGTCTGACTAATCCAATTATGTATAAATATTGGAAAAAAAAAAGTTTGCTTGGATTGATTTAAAAGAAGCAACACAATGTGTCTTGATTTTCATTGATGTGATTTCTAATCCTTGATGTACTTGTTTTTTTTGTTTTTTTTTTGTACTTTTTTGGACTTCAAACAGAGAAAAAAAATAAATGAAACGCAGACAGTTGTTGAAATAAACCTTTTTAACATGACCTCTTTGGATCCTGTGTTTACCTCTGTGTCGCCTCCCCTTTTTTTCCTTCCCTTTAAGTCTGACGCTCTCTGCATGGCTTTGAACGCAGCTTTTTAGGTCCTTGTCTCAGTGTGTCTCAGCGCTTACACATACACAGCCACAGTAAATACACAATTGGATAATTTTATTGCGAAAAGTTATTTAAATTTTTTTTATTTTACCTAGATTTGACCACATCCAAAATATTCCCATTTTATATCTAAATTATATTTTTACACAGCACACAAGTACCTTATATTCCTGTTTAGCAATGCATAGGCTGGTGCTTATTTCTAGAGGAGTACACTTCTAACATGTCACCAATATTTTGCGGGTTTTATAAAACAGTGCCATTAATTTGACTGGCTGATTGAATAAAACTGATTTTTTACATATTCCACAAACATTATCTTGATAAAAGTTACAGAATATAATATCATAAAACTGAACTATTACAAACAACAGGATACTTGCTGATAATATGACCCCAGATAAAACCTCTGAGATAAATTCATTGAGATGAAAGGACACTTAGCAAATAGTCTAGTTACTGCGCACCACTGAAATCCTGTAAGTCATATGAAAGTCTTATATCAACCTAAAAGTCCTATTGTTTTTTTTGTGGTAAAAAATAGGCCGTTAAAAAAAATAATCAAAGGCGATCCTTTAAAAATAAAAAATCTTTATTCCTTGACCTTTAGTCCTATTCATGTTAATGTGAAGCCTGTTCTCATTCTTCAGGAGTAACATGTAAAAAATAAAAAAGGCAGGAAGCTGAAGATGTGGCTGAAGGATCCAATATTTGCAACGCCTTAACTGTTCAAAAGATTCTCCTCACTGGTTATAAATCATGACTAGAAACACCAGAAAGCTGTCTGCTGCTTCTGCATGTTTCATGCCTCTGGAGATGCTTTTGCTGTTTCCAGCTGGACACACTCTGGCTGACATGCTTGTGCTTGCAAATAAAAGCCCTCTGTGGGGCACATTTGGTGTGTAAACAAAATCAGATGAAAAATTGATCTCTGGCTGAAACAGTATTAAAAGGTTGTTATATTATTAGGTGGGCTACAGTTTTTATATAGGCGGTGGTAATTGGAACCGAGTACAAAATAAATTAAAGTAATTAAAAATGTACATTTTGATCAGGTTTAGGCAGCAAGACTTAAAAGATACTTTTTTCGGATATTTCTTTTTGTAATTCTGTAAATCTATTCATTTTTAAAGTTGGAAAGAGTTAAGACGACAAAAAAAAAACTGTTAAAGCACAATTTAAGTCTACTACACAGAAATTTCATGTCAAGCATTAGACACTTTAGGATCGTTTTTAGGTTTAATCAATAAAAATAATTTCATTTTAAACTCTGAGGGCTCAGCAGGAAAATGTCAGCTCAATTGCTGTTTTATCTCAATGACAAAATCTCTTTAAAATATCTGTAAAACAAACTGAATATCACACGATTAAACTATTTGAAACAGATGTCCAAGTCTAAAATGTTTTCAGAGGAGTTTCAGCTCTAGCAGTTTTACAAAATGTTTCATTAAATGACATGTTGTCTGTCAATAAATTATATGTGATTATTAACATTTAGATGTGCTCCTGTGTTAGCCTATTCTATCTTATAGGTATCGTGGAGGATTTTTTAAGACCCGCCCTCTCCACTTTGAAATAAATGCGCATGCAAGAGCATGCACCATCCAATTTCTCTTTTTGCACGCCCTGTTTAAAATGTGCTATTCTCATAGCTCATACAAGCTTACTGTTTCCACATACAGCGGGGACTACATAGTGTACTTTATAGCAAACTAACCATTCAGACGGAGGATGACTGCTTTTTTCCCCAATGGTCACGTAACTCCTCCACCGCGCGGGGCCTGTGCGGTGGAGGAGGAGTGACCATACCTGTTATTAGTCACCGCTGTCGGGTAGTGAAAGGCTTTGGCGACAGCGAGTCGCTGTTACAGCAAATCCCATAGTGCTTTGTGAGGAGAACTCTCCGCGCAAAGCATTCTGGGATATATCTGCCTCTTCTAAGGCCTTTCTTTTCTTCTCGAACATTTCGTAGACACTTTTTCTCTTACGACCCTCGGCCATTTTCAAAGAACCACGGGAAGAAAGGTGAGCTTCATGACTGTCTGAAACCGTAGCTCACAAAAGGTATGTGCCGGAAAGTGCACATACACAGAAAAAGATAGCTAACTGGATGAGCACGTAGAACGGCCTTATGACCACAATGATTGACAATTAGGAGGACCACTTATTGTGATGAACCACCCGGAAACAAAAGATTGTCCCCTATACCTTTAATTGCTTACAAGTGAACTTTACTATGCCTTTGTGCCACTAGGAAGGGTTCAGAGCTCCTCAGTTTCTCAATTTATTGTAACTTTAAACTGAAACTAATTTGATTAAGCCACCGGTGCATATGTATTGCACAGTTTATTGTCATGGACACAGTAAGGTGTAAATCTGTTTTCTACTGATCATTGAGATGCTTTTTCCCACTTGATATGAGGTCATCTCTTCAAAGTTGACTGAACTTAATAAGATCTTATTGTCTTTCTTAGGTCCCACAGAAAACATGCATATAGCACACAAACCAGGCTAATAAACTGAAGAAGTTATTATAACCTCTGAAACCAGATTTTTTTAAAGCAAGGGAATGGTACAAAGCTGGTTTGGCAGAATTCAACATCCAGAAAATATCTTTTGCCGGGATTATTGAAGATTAACAAGATTTATAAATTGTCCAGGAACAAGGGGTTTTGGTCAGAGAGGTGGCCAAGAGCATCAGAGCGACATAAATAGAGCTTCACTGTTGATCTCCCCAGAAGTGTGGTGGTGACAGCATCATGCTTTAGTGACTCTTCAAAAATGGACATCTATTCCACAATAAAATTGAAATTACTGTACCTCTGCCAAATACAGAAAGATTCAGAGGAAAACCAATTCCAGAGACAATCAACAGCTAAGATCACAAAGAGGTCTTTTAATGAGTGTTAAAGCATCCCTCAGTGACCCAGTCAGAGCTCAGACTTAATTAGACACCTCTTCGAGTACCTAAAAGTGGCTGTCTACTGATGTCGCCTGGACGTCAGCTGGAGAGGATCTGCAGGGAAGACTGAGAGAAAACATCCCAAACAAGGTATTCCATGCTTGAAGAGAAATGTCCAGGAAGACCTAAGACTTTTCTACACTTCATAGAGACTCCAGAGAAAAAAAGCAAGATCTCTAGAGTTGGAAACAACCCTTTTTTGTATCCAACACTTCCTCTAGGAAGTACAGTAGTAGCCATTCAAAATGCCCCCTCTTTCCTTGATGGGCCCTTGGCTGGTCCTCTAAGATTCCTTTTTTAAACATCAATCTTTGTACTAGAATATTCTTTCTGTGATGATTTGTGAAGAGAAGTGCCTTCTCCTGTTCTGACCCTGTAATTCAGTGAAAAGGTGGGGTCAGAGTAAAGAAATATGCATGCCCAGGAGGAGGGGATCACTCCTGGAAGTTGGCTGCCATTCGGCTGCCGTTTGAATGGGAAGGGCTATTTTGAATGGCTCCTACTGTAGAAAGTTGTTTGATGCAGTATACTATTGGTACTGCATCCTTCACAATTACAGTAGATGTAGTTTTTCCTGGGGGCTGAAGTAAACAGTCTGATCAAATCGGAGAACAAAGCGGACATCATCCTAAGGTACTAAGTCGAACAAAGTGATTTATTTGACACTCACTTAAAAATGTAAACTATCATCATTTTGCATTGGGCAGTTAATTAGTCATGCAAGCCAATTATTATTTAAAGGGTTAATAGCAAAATATGAAAGTACATGACAATGGGACAAGTAACAACTCAACAGAAAAGTAGTTCAGCCTAAATCAATAAATGAATCTTTTATTTTATTTTTTATTTTTTTCAGGTCTTGATAGAAAATAAAAAGCCTAAATCCTGACTGAACTGAGTCCAGGACTAGTTGAAATCAAACTTTCAAGGTAACTCTCAAATGAAGCTTCAAGACATTCTAGATAAACACCTCCTGATTATTTATTCTTCTAGGGCCATAAAATGTTACTTTTATTCACGGGAATAGTTTTAGCACCCTGTGGGGAGTGTTGGTCTAGTGGTTAGAGCAGTGCGCTTGTGCCCTGAGAAGGTTGCAAGTACCCGGGTCGAACCCCACAGCCTGTACTCTGGGTTCCTGAGTAAAACCCTTTACCCAACACTGCTCCCTGGTGCCGCACAATGGTAGCCCACTGTTGGGTTAAATGCAGAGGTAAATTTCTCCAGTGTAAGATCAATAAAGTTAAATTATTATTATTGTCACTAAACTTACCAAGTCAGTCAGAGGTATTTTGGTTTGAGTTGCCTCGATTGTCTTAAGCTCTGGAGTCTGAGCGTCAAGATAATTTAGAAAAGCCTTGACCCTTTAAAAATGATCCTGAACTAACAGATTGTTTCCCAGAGACACATTCTCATTTGTCCAGAGTTGATAAACAGTAATGAATGAGTCTCTGCTGAGGCCGCTGTGCCTACAGCCTTTTGTCGGCTTTCTCCTTTGGTTCGGCGTGAAAGTAACGGGTTGAACAACAGCATTGTGGCAGATTCTTCCCAGGGTGGAGGAGTAATGGATGAAGGGTGGGGGGAGGTTTGGATGCCCTTCCTTTTCTTTGGATTAACAGACAGGAGGTTCAGAGAGCAACTCAGTCTCCAAAAAGTAAAATGAAAGAGTTTTTTTATGAGTAAAGAATA